ATGGTCTTCAGCTACATCCATGTTGCTGTATAGGACATGATTTTATTGTTTTTTTGGCTGCGTCATATTCCATTGTGTACACATACCATATGTTCTGTATCCAGTCCACTGTCGATGGGCATCCAGGTTGATTCCGTGTCTTTGCTATTATGATCGTGCTGCAGTAAACACATGAGTGCGTGTGTTTTCGTTTGTTTTGCTTTTTTGGTGGAACGATTTATTTTCCTTTGGGCATATACCCAGTAGTGGGATCACTGGGTTGAATGATAGTTGTGTTTTAAGTTCTTTGAGAAATCTCCAAACTGCTTTCCACGGTGGCTGAACTAATTTACATTCCCACCAACAGTGTATAAGTATTCCTTTTTCTCTGAAACCTCACCAACATCTGTTGTTTTTTGACTTTTTAATAATAACCATAATGACGGGTGTGAGAGATTATCTCTTTGTGGTTTTGATTTGCGTTTCTCTGATGATTAATGGTGAACATACATGTTTATTGGCTGCATGTATGTCTTTTGAGAAGTGTCTTTTCATGTCCTTTGCCCATTTTTTAATGTGGTTGTTTGTTTTTAACTTGTTGAGTTGTTTAAGTTCCGTATAGATTCTGGATGTTAGAACTTTGTCAGATGCATATTTTGCTGATATTTTAACCCATTTTGTGAATTTTCTGTTTACTCTGTTGATAGTTTCTTTTGCTGTGCAGAAACTTAGTTTAATTAGGTCCCATTTGCCAACTTTTATGTTTGTTGCAATTGCCTTTGGGAGCTTAGTTATAAATTCTTTGCCATGGCCCATGTCCACAATGTTATTTCCTAGATTTTCTAGAGTTTTTATAGTTTTAGGTCTTACATGTAAGTCTTCATTAACCCTGATTTGATTTTTGTATATGGTGAAAGGAAGGGGTCCGGCTTCAATCTTCTGCATATGGCTATCCAGATATCCCAGCACCATTTATTGAATAGGGAGTCCATTGCGTGTTATGGTCGACCTTGTCAAAGATCAGATGGTTGTAGATGTGCAGCCGTATTTCTGGGTCCTCTATCCTGTTCTGTTGGTCTGTGTTTTGTTTTAGTTTTCAACCCAGTGCCCTGCTGTTTTGGTTGCTGTAACCTTGTAGTACAGCTTCAAGTCAGGTAGTTTGATGCCCTGCATATATACTTCCCATCACTGAAATCATGGAAGACATCCTTCTATCTTTTATTCTAAAAAGTTAGTGCAGGTTGAGTATCCTTATCCAATATGCTTGGGACCAGAAGTGTTTCAGATTTTGGATTTTCTTTTTTCAGATTTTGGAATATTAGCATTATGTTTACCTGTTCAGCATCCCTAATTCAAAAATCTGAAATCTGAAATGCTTCAATGTACAGTTCATTTCAGCATCATGTTGGTGCTCAAAAAGTTTCAGATTTTGGATTTTCCAATTTGAGATGCTCAACCTATAGTTTTATCTTTAAGTTTTGTTTTTAATGTACATGGGATTAATTTTAACGTATGGTATGAGGCAGGAACCCATTTGCATTCATTTTTCATAAGTGTATTCAGTTGCCAAGCACCAGTAATTGAAAAGCTGGATCTAAAGTACTGTTTCTGTCATAAAGCATGAATCTGTATATGTGTGTTTTGTTCCATTGATCCAATTGTCTTGCCCCACACCACTACAAGACTGTCTTAATTTCTATGGTGGTTATTCTTCAAGAATGGCTATATCTGACCTTTTCTCTTTCGTGTACATTTTAGAATCTAGTTCTACCTGCCCCACCGCCAATAACATTGGTATTTTGGTTAGGACTGTAAGGTATCTGATGTGGTTTGGATCTGTGTCCTCACCCTAATCTCATGTTCAGTTGTAATGCTCAGTGTTGGAGGTGAGGCCTGGTGGGAGGTGATTGGATCATGGGGATGGATCCTTCGTGAATGGATTAGCACCATCCCCTTGGTAGTATTCTCCTACTCTTCTCCTGGTAGTGAGTTCTCACAAGAGCCGGTTGTTTAAAAATGTGTGCCACCTCCCCCGCTCTTGCTCCTGCTCCTGCCATGTAAGACGCCTGCTCCTGCTTTGCCTTCCACAATGAGTGAAAGCTCCCTGAGGCCTCCCCAGAAGCAGATGCTGCCATGCTTCCTGTACAGCCTAGGGAACCATGAGCCAATTAAACCTCTTTTCTTTATAAATTACCCAGTCTCGGATATTTCTTTATATAGCAGTGCAAGAAAAGACTAATATAAATTGAATTGGAGAAAGATGACATTATAATACTTATTCTACTGATCTGTGAACATACTATATCTCTCCCTGTTTGCCTAGGTCTTTCAAGATTCTATGAATTTCTACATGATGGGTTTGCACAACTTTTGTTAAATTTATTCTTAGGGACTTTATTTTCTTAATACCATTGTAAATGGTATCTTTAAGGTATAATTTTCTACTTGTTGCTGATGCACAGAAATACAATTATATTTTATCTTGTATTTTTTTTGAGATGGTGTCTCACTCTGTCACCCAAGCTAGAGTGCTGTGGTATGATCTTGGCTCACTGCAACCTCTGCCTCCCAGGCTCAGGTGATCCTCCCACCTCAGCCTCCCAGTAGCTGGGACCACAGGCATGTCACCATGCCCAGCTAATTTTTCGCATTTTTTGTAGAGATGGGGTTTCACCATGTTACCCAGGCTGGTCTCAAACTCCTGAGCTCAAGCGATCTGCCCATATCAGCCTCCCAAAGTGCTTGGATTACAGGTATAATCCACCATGCCTCGCCAATTAATTTTTTATATATTATTTTATATCCAAAAGTCTTGCTAAATTATCTTTGCCATTATCTATTAATTCTAGGAGCTTATCTGTTTTGTTCATTGGATTTTCTATGTACCTAGTCTGGCTCTCCCAAGAAGGAGGTAGCAAGATGGAATTAGATTTATTAGGGAACACACCTGCAGGGGAAATGGGGAGGGATTCAGTGGGGGTTGGGAAACCCAGCAGACCAAGACTGAGCGCATATCCTCATGAAGAAGGAGAGGAGGAGGAAGATTGGCGCAAGGATCTGAGACTGCAGTGCAGTTCTGAGGTGTTTGGCAAAGCCAGTGGGGATCCTTGAGCTAAAGTTGTCTGTCAGAGGAGTCTCATGTCTTCCAGGATGGGCATGGCTGGGGGCAGCCCGTGGACAGCATGACCTCTGTCTGCATGGAGGCTGGGAGGCCTCTGCATGTTCCTGGGCATAACAGCTGTGGCCTCAGATCACATTCCCACAGATGAAGGTCTCAGCCATTTTCATGGCCACACAGACCTATTTCTCCAGACATCTGGAGAGCAACTCTTTTATGTTCCTGTGGGCCTCTCTTACCGAGGGGAGACTAAAAAGGGTGTATGGGGTGAGTGGCAGCCCTGGCCACTGTGTATGCGGCTGGAATCGGTCTTCCCCTCCCACTCTGTTCATGTTAAATTCTCCTCACCCTCGGGGATCTTTCGACGGGTGTTGGTGGCTTACCTTGTGATGTAACCCGAACTGAAACTCTTAGGGTGCGAGGGTCTGAATCTTCGGTAATTCACCCCTTTCAGGCCAGGCTTGCTGCACGAAAATGAGACAAGGAAGTTCCAGGAGGCACCAGCTGGGATTGTCTGGGTCCCACGTATGCTGCTTTCTGTCCCAGCGTGTCTGCCACCCTGCCTCTTCCTGTGCTCCTGCCAGGGTGGTGGCTCCTGGGCACAAGACGTATGGGTTCCCCGGCAGCAGCTGTAACCCGTGGTTCAAAGGGAACCTTGCCCTGGTGGGGAAGGTTTGAGTTGGGGGACACGGTGCTATGGAGAAGCCTTTCTCAGCTGGTGCACAGAGACCTGAGGAGTGGCACTGTCCTTGCAGGAGGCGCTGGAGAGGTGCTTCAGCTGTACCTTGAGTCACCTGACCCACGTTCTGGGTGGTGCATGTGGGACCCAGCCTGCAGGGACTGGCCCCTGCGTCCTCATGGGTCACTTGCCTCCCCGCCGTGCAGCTTGTGTGTCCATCTAACGCCTGGATCACATGGACTGAATGTTCATGATCCTCAGGGGTCAAGCCAGAAATGTCCCATGTCCAGCAGCTGACGTTTGCTTAGTAAACACCTGTACCGCCGTATAGAAATCTCAGGGGACTAGTGAAACCAAAGCTGTGGAAGAATACAGTTGCTCCTCGACTTACCGTGGGGCTTCGTCCAGTAAACATGCCTAAATTGAAATCATGTGGCCCAGTCGGGCACGGTGGCTCATGTCTGTAATCTCAGCACTTTGGGAGGCTGAAGTGGGAGGATGGCTTGAGTCCAGGAGTTTGAGACCAGCCTGGGCAACACAGTGAGACCTCATCACTACAGAAAAAATGCGTGGCTGCCTGGGGGCTGCCCGACATTGTGAGAGGACAGCTCCTACTGCCTGCTCATCCCTTTGCATTGTGGTGAGGTCAAAAATCCGACCTCAGGGACCTTCTCTATAGTGATATGCAGTGTAATATAAAATATAATATAAAATGGCTAAATATAAAATGGCTATATAAAATGGCAATATAAAATGGCTATATAAGCAGACCTCATACAGGAAGTGTGCTACATATCTCTTTCAGTAAAGGGGGACTCTTTAAAGTATATATACTTTATATATGTAAAGTTACATAAAAATATATGAATTTTATTATATGTAAGTATATTTACCTTTGAATTGACCAATCAAGATAGAAAGACTAGAAAATATGCCCCAAAATAGCAAGGGTGCTCTCTGATTATAGAATTAATCAGGATTTTTGTTTTCTTCTTTGTGTTTTAAAAATGTTATTGTTTGTGACGAATCGCTTTTGTAAGCCAAATAAAAATTAGAGAACTAATGTATAGGTTCAGAAAAGCTAGGAGTGAAAGCAGCCTCTTTAAGAGGGCTTTAGAGCGGGTGTTGGGGGAGCGTCACTGGCGGGACCTCCACTGGCGGGACCCCTGAGCCACCACGCCTGAGAGTGGCGGGTGTGCCTCGGGCCACGTGGTGTCCCCCCAGCTGCGCTGAAGAACCAGCCACGTGCTCTCATCACGGCGTTTTCAGCCTTTCACCTCCCCAGTGTTGAAAAACACTACAAGCTCTTCCCTAAATGTCCCCTGTGTAGCACAGTCAGTTTCGGGATCTTTAAGGACACGTTTGAAGCCTTGGAGAGCCTGTTCACAAGTCACCAGGTACATGGAATTGGAGATTGGCGAGGAGCCCGGCATCCTGACTTAGACCCTCACCCCTAGCCACGTCCCCTGCTCTCTGTGGAGTCCGACACAGACGCTGGTGTGGGATCCGAGCATCTCTTGGATCAACGGCCAAAACCTGCACATCCTGAAGGCACCCACAGTGTCACCTGTCTGGGGGTCCTGAAGGCACCCACGGTGTCACCTGTCTGGGGGTCCCGAAGGGTCAGCAGCCTCACCTGGAATGGAGATCTCGTGCCTGTAGGGGTTTCCCAAGAATACAGAGGTGTCATTACCTCTGAGGTGCTTTTGGTTATTGTGGCCTCTCTGCAGTAGGGGACAATTTCCAAAATCGTTGTCAACACCTAATATGCACCAGGCACTTCCTACGCTTACCTCTCGCTCTGACAGCCACCCTAGAGCATTTTTAAGGTATCATTCTTTTTTCATCTGGGGAGATCAAGGTTCAGGGAGTGAAGTGGACCTGAGTCACCCTCCTTCAGATGCAGTGTAAGGCACCAGGCACCAAAGCTCCTCTCCCAGTCCAGCCAGAGAGGCCACCCAGGTGGGGCTGTGACCTGCTTGGGGCGCTGCAGTTCAGCTCCTCTTGCCGACGTGGTGTCCCGCAGGGAGCTGTCCGGACCCCACCGAGGTGGTCCACGTAGGGCCTGGCAGCTTCCAGCGCCCCTTCCTCCTCTGCTGGGGGCCTCGGCCTCTCCCCAGCCAGCGCCCGAGGGGGGTCGGGTTGCCTAAGCATGAACCCTGCTCCGGAAGTGAGGTTGGCAGGAACCCAGTCCCCGCCTGGGGCTCCTGGGGGAGGATGTGCCGGGAAGGGGAAGAGGAAGGGAAGTGAAAATTGCACAATCTCTGCTCTCCAAAAATATATCTCTGCTATCTGGAAAACTGAGTAAAATGGGATGGAAATTTGGCTAAGTGATGATGGATATTGTTCTGTGGACGAGTTGCCAGGTGTCTCATAAAGAAGAGAAATAAATTTTTATTTCTCTGCCTTTAGGCTGGGCTTAAGGTTTTAATAAGAATGCAGCGAGGGGATGTCGCACAGCAGCTTGCCTGGAGCTGAGATCATTGTTTCCGACAGAGCCTCAGGCCGCCTTCCTCTGGCACCGCGGGGCCGGCTCCCCTCACACCGAGGGACCCCGTGGAGCCCGGGATGGGGTGGAGACCGCGTGTCCGGCGTCTCATCCACGTCCCATCCACCCGCGGCGTGTGGGTGGCGCTGGGCTGGTGTCCTGGGGGAGGAGGCCCGGGCGCCCTGGGGGCCTCCTGGCCAAGCGGGCGCCCGTTTCAGCTTCTGCGCGCTTCTGGTGTGGGCCGCCTTATCCGCAGGCCGGAGAGGAAAAGCGCTTCCCATGCACCCTGCGGCTGGGGCCCTGGGGAGAGGATCCGCCACCTCCACGTGGGGCTGTGCATGGAGAAGCTGGGAGGAGGCGCCGCTTCTGGGACCAAGCAGGGGTGTCCAGTGTTTCTGGGGTGAAGTCTGCACCCCACGCCTGGGTGTCTAGGGGCTGAGCTGAGTTGGACACCCGGGTGGAAGGAAGCAGCTCTGAACAGTGGTACAATGTTGTCCTCGGAGCCCTTTCACCTTGGGTCCCGATGTGGCCCCTAAGAGACAGTCCCTAATGTCAAAGCCACGTGCTTTAGCGGGGCCAGGAGGCTTCTGGGCCCTCAGCACCGGCAAGGTACAGTCCGGAGCTTCCGGACGGGGAGACTCAGGGCTGCCTGTCTTCAGCCCGGTGATCTCTGGTGCAGCCCGTGTGTCAGAGGGACAGGAGGCACACATGCTGGGAGGGCTCCTGAGGGAGGGTGGGGTCCCGTGGCCTCCGAGTTAGCAGGGCCTCGCTCTACCCTGCTTTGTGCACACTTCAGTGTGGCCCTTTCTCTGTGCCTGACTCACCAGGCTTCCTTTGGTGTGCGTGTGCATATTCACATGTATGTGTACATGGATGGGGCACTGTCTGTGCCTGTGTGCATGCCTGTGTGCCAGCCTGCTTTGACATTTACGCTTGTGAAAACTGAGGTATGAGAAATGCGCGGTTTGGCAGCTCTGACAGATGCTGGCTCCCGTGCCACCCACTTCCCCTCGCCCCACAAATCTCCTTTTGTCCCCCGGCCCGAGCCACCGTGGAGCTGGTGTCTAGCGGCACCGGTGAGCTCTGCCTGTCCCTGAACTTCCCACCTGCCACACGTGCCCTCTGCGCCTGGCGCTCTGCTCTTCAGAGTCCTCCTGGTGCCGCCTGTCTCCGGCTCACGGGTTCTTACTGGCAGGTAAGGGGCATCCCACCTGTGAAGGTACTACAGCTGATCGGCTCCTCTCGCTGGACACCCAGGCTGTTTCCAGCCTCTGGCTATTTTTTAATATGTTATTAATAAAGATGTCATGAACATTTGTGTACAAGTTGTGTGTAGCACACGTTTGAACAGCTCTTGGATAAATGCTTGAAGTGGAATTTCCGGATTATGCGCTCAGTGTATGTTTAACTTTATAAGCAACTGGCAAGTGCGTGTGGAAAGAACTCACACGTTTCTGCATTCTCACCAGCAGCTTGTGGGTTCTGGTGACTGCCCGTCCTTACCAGCATTTGGAGTTATCAGCCTTTTTCATTCTGGCCGTTTCAGGGACATGAGGCGGTGTCTTGTGCCCCGCACGCCCACCCGGTGGCTGCGGTTCTGAACACCTTTCCTGGGCTTGCTGGCCATTTGCTCATCTCCTTTGTGAAGTGCCTCTCAGGCATGTCGTCCACTGTTACTGGGCTGTTTTTCCTTTTCGTTGGATCGTAGGTGATGGTCATAGATTCTGGCTGCAAGCCTTCTGTTAGGTATGAATTGCAAATACTTCCTCCCTATTTATGGCTTGCCAATTTAATTTTTAAAAGCTTCCTCACTTTGAAACAATCTCAAACTTACAGAAAAGTGGCAAGTACAGTAAAATAACTTCCTCTTGAAGGATTTAATGATAAGTTGCAGACCTGTCACCCCGTCACCCCCATGTGTTTGAGTTTGTTTTTTCTACGACCAACCATGTTCTCCTATGTAACCACGACACAGCCAGCTGAACCCAGAGCTGAGCATGGATCGACTGCTTCCCTGGCAGCCAGACCTCACTCCGCTTCCACCCACGGTCCCCAGCAAGGTCCCGTTTAGATGGCGAGTGGCTCAGTCCAGATCACACCCCCACGAGTCGGCAGGCGCCTATTCTTGTTCAGCCTGGAGGTGTTAGCAGTCTTGCCTTGGCTTTTCTGGCCCTGAAACTTGTGAAGAAGATAGACAGTTATGCTGTAACTTTTCCCTCAATTTGGATTTGTCCGGCGTCTCCTCACCATGACATTCAAATTAGGCACCTGTGGCAGCAAAATTGCCGAAGTCATGTGGTCTCCTTCCTGTGCCCTGCTGTTGGGTGGTGCCTAAGCTGAGCTGCAAGTACCCAGTGAGGCGCCTGCCAGACTTGTCCACTGTGGGCTCAGTCGTTCCCTCTTTGGAACTAACAACCTTTGGGGGGTGGATTATGAGAATATGTTAATACTCCATTCCTCATCAACCCTTCAGATTATTTATTTATTTATGGAGACAGAGTCTTGCTCTGTTGCCCAGGCTGGAGTGCAGTGGCGTGAGTCTCAGCTCACAGCAACCTCCGCCTCCCGGGTTCAAGCAATTCTCCTGCCTCAGCCTCCCAAGTAGCTGGGATTACAGGTGCACACCATCATGTCCAGCTAATTCTTGTATTTTTAGTAGAGGTGAGGTTTCACCTTGTTGGCCAGGCTGGTCTCAAACTTCTGGGCTCAAGTGATCCACCCACCTTGGCCTCTCAAAGTGTTGGGATTATAGGCATGAGCCACTGCGCCTGGCCTGTGTATTTATTTTTATCAGCGTAGATTCATGGTTTTCCATTTTATTCAATGAGATATAATCTGTTATCTTCACTTTTTTCATGCTAAAATTCTCCCATATATGGCCCGCGGGAGCCCCTCCAGCTGGCTTCCATGCCCTCTCCCCGTGATGCTGTTGCTGCTTGAGTCCTGCCTTACTTCTGATGAAACACAATATTCCAGGTTTCTCTGGTGCTTTCCTTGCCCCTGGGATCCACCGTTTCTCCAAAGAGCCCTGGGTCCTGGTAGTGGAGAATGGCACCCAAGACCTGGGTCCCGCTCTCAGTCCATCTTCGGACAGTTTTTGCTCCAAGTGTTAGCTTTATTATTAGATCACACGTTTAAGATTATGATGTCTTCTTGATGAATTCACCCGTTTATCATTATAAGCTGTCCCTCCCTTTCTCTTAAGCTGTTGGATTTAAGGTCTGCTTTAGTATTAATAAAGCTACGGCAGCTTTCTTTCAGCTAGTGTGTACAGGGTATATCTTTTTCCAACATTTTACTTTTAACTTCTTTGTGTCCTTAGGATTAAACTGTGTTTTCTATAAATAATATATAGTTGGTCTTTTATTTTTATTAGTTTTATAATATCTACCTTTAAACTTGTATATTAAGTCTATTTAGATACAATGTCAATATATTTGGGTTTGATTCTACCGTGTTTCCCTGTATTTTCTACATATAAATCATCTCTTCTGCCCTTTCTTTATCTGTGCCTTTTCCCCTGCTGAGGTGAATTCTGTAATTTTGGTTGTTATTGAATCTTATTTCCTCCATTGATTTGGTGTTTTTGTATTGTCCTTTTTTTTTGTGGTTGCTCCAAATATTAAAATGTGCATCTTAAAAAAAATCTGCTACTTCATAAACAGTGTAAGAAATGTTTCAATAGCATCATTCCAACCACCACCCTTTCTCCCCTTTGTACATTTTGTCTTTGTTTTACTTCTACAGATGTTGTAAACAGCAAATTACTTTTTAATTATTTTTACTTTAAACAATCAATAGCCTATTCAACACATATATATGTTTGGGAGAATATATAAATATAGAGAAATAGAGAACACACACACACACACACACATATATATATACACACATATAAATATTTTTAAGGTGTTTTGAATTTAGCATGATACTTTTGTTAGTGTTTATCATGTCTATCAGGTATAATTTCTCACCAGACTAAAGGGCTTCTCTTAGCATTTTGGATAATGCTGTTCTGGAGATAAAGTCATTCCGCCTTCACCTATCTGAGGATGTCTTTGTTCTAAAGAATGTTTTTGCTGGATATGGAAATCTAGGTTGATGCTTTCGTCACATTAAAGATGATGTTTTCTCATCTTCTGGCCTCCTTTGTTTCCGACGGGAAGCTGGTGGTGGTCTCATCTTGTCTCGCTGTGCGTGCCACGTCGTTGCTCGTTTTGCCTCTGGCTGTTTTCCAGACCTGCGCTTTCTGGGTGGCCTTCGGCGATCTGACCACGACGTGCCCTGGGGCGGTTTCTTTGTAGTTTCCTGCTTGGAGTTTGCCAAGCTTCTTGGACTTGTGGTTCTCTTAGTTTCGCAATGTCCTTGCCCATTATCTTTTCAGATAGTTCTATGCTCCATTCTCTTTCTCCTCTCCTTCTGGAACTCCAGTACCACGCACACTGGCTGTTACTCTTCACCTACAGGCCTCAGATGGTTTTTTTTTTTCCCTCCCTCACTCTATTTGTCCCTTTTGATCAGCTTGGGTAATTTCTATTCATGTCTTCAAGGTCACTGACTCTTTCCTGTGCTATCCACAGTCTGCAGAGGTGCCCATAAAGAGAGCTCTGACCTGATACAACGTTTTCACTTCTAGCATTTCCATGTGTCTGGTGTCGCCTTTTTCCCCCTTGATTTTGTAACATATTTATCATAGTTGTCTTAAAGTTTTTGTCTGAAATTCCAGTATCTGAGTGATTTCTAGGTTTGGTTCTGTTGGCTGTTTCCTGTCTTGATGGTGGGTGGCATTTTCCTGCTTTCTGATGTGTCCTGTCATGTTTTGTGGACTGCTGGAAGCCTGTTTGTTGGCACGCATATGCCGCTCACACCCAGGCTGTGGCCTCTTCTTGCCAGTCTGTACTGCAGTGGATTTGGTCAGCCCGTTCTGTAGCTGAGCTGGGTTTTGGCTTTACTGTTAATTTAGTTAAGATTCTGTTCACCACAGACTTCATGTGATTTGAATGCCAAATCGGAACTCTCCTTTTCTTGGGCTCAGGTGCCTGTGGGTTCCGTCTTATCTCCCCTGCCTTTCCTCGGATGTCTTCTGGCTCCTGGCATCTGCACCTGGGGGAATCCTCCACCTCCTGCCCCTCCCTGTGGTAAACACCCTCTGCTTTGTACTCAGTGCAAGCCCTGGGCTGCCTCTGGGGCTTCATTCAGCCTTGGTCCCTGCCCTTAGACGGCAGCAGGCTTCGTGGGCTTGCGCCCGAGGGGTGGGGCCCTCTGCTGCCCTGACTCTGCAGGCCTCAGAGGAAGGCCTGGGGCTTCTCAAGGGCTTCTCCTCGTTCTGCCGCACCCTTGCCCCTCAGTAGGCCCTTCGTCCCCATGTCTTGGGGGGCATCTCTGAGCCTTCTGCCATGTACCC